AAAGAGTAAACTGATTCAAATATGATTCAAATGCAGATTTCAGCTCACTGAATACATATGTGAGATGCTTCCCTTGGAACTCCTATGGTCTGGGCTTCACCAGCAAGAAATAGAAATCATGATTTTCTGAGCCCTCACATTTCTCCTTGGCAGTAATGACAAGGGTTTTCCAAAATTCCCAATCCAAATATTCTTGATAATTCTCAACTTGTGGGTCCTAGAGAATAGTCATTTCCCCCTAAGAGCCTTGGGGAAGGTGGCCTGGCATGGCAGGGAGGATGGTCTCTCACATAACCAGAGCCCCTTCCTACACGTTTATGGTCCCTGTGCTGGGCAGTGCCTGTGGGTCCACTCGGTGCTGACTGTGGTTGTGCCTTCGTCCTGAGGCCTGCCCTTGGTGCCTGCTTCTCAGGCCAGCAGAGAAATGCATCTGCTGATGTCCCAAACCACTTTGTAGAACAGGAAGTCCCCAGGTGGACCAGCTGGGCTGTGTCTTTCCCAAAGCAATTCTAGGAAGGATCAAGGGAGGAGTGGGGATACACATTAGGTGAGGTCCTGCAGAGACCTCAGTTGCTTGCTCTTCTAGCCCTCTGGGCTCCGCTGCAGTGTCAACCTCACAATGCAAGAATTTTCTCTTATATCCGGTAAGTTTCATGTGTCTCCCTTTGAGGTATTTCTAGTCCAGAAGACATGTGTGCATTTGTGTGAACTCCAATTTCAGAACAGAAGCAAGTTATTGTACATAATATCCCTGGCCTCATGCAATGTTGGCAATAGGGTGGGCTTTCTGGGAATATTTTAGCCTCCCTAATCTCTAATCAGCTTGCCTTCCTAAACAAACAAAAACGACATCCGAATAAACTATGTAAGTTGATATAGTCTTCTTTTCCATCTACTTGGAACTTGGAAATCTCTCCTAAATGGAAGTTCTTGAGCCATAATTGAAATTGAAGAAAAAAATAGAAATAGAAGTTTGCATGAGGAAACCTCTAGGGGGCAATGTTACCTAACCATTGCTCTAATTCAAGCTGCCCTGTTTACATCCCTCATTGCCTACCTCCCCTAGTAATCACCAGTATCATTTGCTGGCACCCCATGGGAGACCAGGATAAGCACCTGGCTCCTGCCTTCGGATCAGCGCGGTGCGCCTGGTCTCCCATGGGTTGCGGGGCCCAAGCACTTGGGCCATCCTCCACTGCCTTCCCTGGCCACAGCAGAGAGCTGGCCTGGAAGAGGGGCAACTGGGAAAGAATAAGGCGCCCTGCCCGGGACTAGAACCTGGTGTGCTGGCGCCGCTAGGTGGAAGATTAGCCTATTGAGCCGCGGTGCCGGCTGCTTCTTGACTTTCATAGTTAATGTGACTTCTGTCAAATTGATCTCCAGCTAAGTTCATCCTACCTCTGTGAAGCACAATCCAGTTTAATAAGTCTATGGTGTCCCATTGCTTTCCTTGTTTAAAACTATTACTTGGGTTGTTATCTGCACTTAGATAACTCAAATTCCTTAGGTTTGCTTATGATTCTTAATTCCTGTCATGCTTCAGAAGATACATTCATACATATTTAGAGTTGTTTGGGTCATAACTAAAGGCAGTGGCCTATGTAGTAGCTCTCTGAAGATAGTACCTCTTCATCTTTATACCCCCAAGATTGAATATGGTGGTACACATATAGTGAGATGGCAATTGAATGGATACATACATGGGAAACAGAATATTGTGTCTTGTTTGGGATATTAAAGGAGTTTGACTTAGATAATAGGCAGCACAGTATTGCTAAATAAATAATTAGTTTTATAAAATCGATTCACTAATCATTGAAAAGATCACCAGGGTTCTCACTGCTTAAAATTCACCATTTTATTTTGGAAATTTTTCAGGTATTTATTTTTGTATATTTGAGAGGCAAAGAAAAAGAGAGCTAGCTCTTATCTGCTGCTTCACTCCCTAAATACCTGCAATGGTTGGGGTTGTAGCAGGCCAAAACTAGGAGTCAGGACCTCAGGCAAAGTCTTCCAAGTGGGTGACAGGGACTTCAATACTTGATCCATTATTTGCTGTTTCACAGGGAGTGTGTTAACAGGAAGCTGGAAGCAGGAACGGAGCTGGGAACCCAGGTGCTTGGACATGGGATGTGGGAGCCCAGTGGCATCTTAACTGCTAGGTCAAATGCCTGATCCTAAATCCACCATTTGAAAGTAGAAAATTCAGAGATCTTCAATAAATTCACAGAATTATGCAACTGTCACAACTGTTTAACCACAACACATTTTGATCACACCAAAGACATCCCATACTTGAGAACAGTCACTCCCTATTCTCTCTAAAGTTCTCCCTCAAACCCTGCAACCGCTGGCAATCACTTCTCTCTCTCTTTCTCTCTCTCTTTTAAAGATTTATTTTATTTATTTGAAAGACAGAGTTACAAAAGAGGTAGAGACAGAGAGAGAGGTCTTCCACCTGCTGGTTCACTCCCCAGATGGCCACAATGGCAGGAGCTGCGCTGATCCGAAATCAGGAGCCAGGAGCATCCTCTGGGTCTGTCACGTAGGTGCAGGGTCCCAAGGAACTGGGCCATCTTCTACTGCTATCCCAGGCCCTAGCAGAGAGCTGGATTGGAAGCGGAGCAGCCGGGATTCGAACCGGCACCCATATGGGATGACAACACTTCATGTCAGGGCTTTAACCTGCTGCACCACGGCACTGGCCCCTCTTTCCCTCTTTTCTAAGATTTAGTTTATTTATTTGAAAGGCAGCGTTACAGAAACTGAGAGAAAGGAAGGGAGGGAGGGAGAGAGAGAGAGAGAGAGATTGATTTTCCATCCACTGATTCACTACTCAAATGCCCACAAAGGCCAGGGTTAGGACAGACCAAAGCCATGAGGCAAGAACTCCATCAGTGTGTCCCATGTGGGTGGCAGGAAACCAAGACCTTGGGACATAATCCCCTGCCTCCCAGGTACACTAGCAGGAAGCTAATTGGAAGCACAGAGGAGCTGGGGCTCAAACCAGGCACTATGATATGGGCATCTCAGGGAACAACTTAACCTTCTGTATCACAATGCCTGCCCCAAGGCACCACACCCAACATCACTACACTAAGCACTAAGTCCCTAACACATGAGCCCTTGGGGCACACACCTGAACCATACTCAGACCATAGCAATTGTACTGCTGCCTGCTTCTCCCTGCAGATCTGTTGGTAGTGGATCTTTATATATCTAGCTACTCTGTGTTGGCTGCATGTATGATTATAGTTGTTACACCTTCCTGCTGAATTGGCCCTTTTATCAGTATGTGATGACCTTTTCTGTCTGTGGTGACTGGGTCTTAGTTTTGTAGACATTTAGTCTGTAAGGTTTGCTAAGGGAATGGTCGTGCACCTGTCCTTACGGCTGCGTGAGTGTGCTAGAAGGACAGAACTCCAGAAGACAATTATACTGGGCCTAAATATGTGGCTCCAGATGTGTCTCCTCTATTGTAGCCCCTGAGGATAGAGGCCTGTTGATTTATTTATTTTTTTTGTTTCCCTAGTGATAAGCATTGTGTCCAAAATATTTTAATTGCTCAGTAAATGGTTTTTGAGTAACTGAATTAAGGAATGTTAACAGAAAGTTTGGGTTCCTAGAGAATGAGTCGCATAGTCATTTTAAATTTCATAGAAAGCTCCTTTTCTTCAAGGTGATGAGGCTGTGAGTAGGCCTGGTCTTTCTTTGTGGGCCAGGTGTGGATACAGGGATCTCCCCCTCCCCACACACAGGACAGGAACCTCTGTTGCTTACAGCAGCTGCTATGGGGGGCTCTGTTTCTGTTAGCCCCTAATTCAGGGACTGCCCTCTGTTATTGGGAGGCTGCCCCCTGAACCCACGGCTGGTGTTCTTCTGAACTCTTTCTACTCACTATTCCTCTGGTGAAATAAGCAGCACAGGAGAATGTCCTGCACAGGGCCTGCAGGGATTCGCAGACCCGCATTTTAATGTGGGCACTGTGTTTCCTTCCACTGTGTGCTGCTCTCTCTCCTTGCTTCTGGATAACAAGAGCCCCACCCCACCCCACCCTGACCTCCTATCCTGGTTGTCCCCCCTTTAATCCATCTTGCTTATCACTGTGAGGTGGATTTTCCTAAAACCCTTCTTTCTCCAACATTTAGTGGTCCCTTTTGCATGAAAGCTGACATTCAAGGCCTCAGTGGTCTGACCTCAGGATTTGTAAAACTGTGTCTCCTATCACTCCCCTTCCTCGTTGCTCACTTTAGACAACGTGCTCCATCTTTCTTCAGATTCTAAATGCACCTCGGGCTTTCCTGTCTCTGAACCCTCGACCATGCACTTCCCTTAGTCTGCACAAGTCTTTCTTCACTTCCCTCCACCCTACACATCCTGCCAGGCTCAGCCAAGTCCTTCCCTGCTGGGAAATTTTTTCCTTAAGATTTATTTTATTTATTTGAAAGAGTTATAGAGAGAGGTAGAGCCAGAGAGAAAGGTCTTCCACCCACTGATTCACTCCCTAAATGAATGTAATGGCCAGAGTAGAGCTGATCGGAAGCCAGCAGCCAGGAGCTTCCTCCAGGTCCCCTGCCGGCCCTGTAGGCCAGGACTTTAACCCACTGCAGGACAGCATCGGCCCCTCCTGCTGGGAAATTTCGAAGTGGACTCCCAGGACCATGGAGTCACTGTTTTCAGACCTGCTCATGCCCTCACTGCTTTCATCTTTGTTAAGTCAGTCTGAAACCTCATGAACAGCATTGTGCACAGCTTTTTTTTTTTTAATCTCTTTCTCTGGTTTTGTGGCTTTGCCCAAATTAATTTTATCTCCTACAAATACAGTTTGAGTTTCAGTAGGTAGAGGCGTGTCCTGCCCCAGGTTTGCTTCATGAAGCCCTCAGTAAGAGCCTCTTGCTAAAGTGAGTTAACATTCCATTTTCTGGAATCCTAAAGATGAAAGCCATGCCAGTTTTTTGTAAACTGTAAGATTTGACATTTCCTTTCTTTTCTTCTTTTAGCCATACTGCCCTTTGCCTCCAGCTGTTGCACTAAGGTTTCACCACACGTTTCCAGAAAGCTTCTGAAAGTGGTGCGTGCATGTCATCTGCAGAGAGCTGATGGCGACTGTAACTTGGATGCTGTCATGTGAGTGCTCTTCAGCAGGGAAATCTAAACCTACACAGTGAACAACAGTTTGCAGAGGCTTTGCCTGAAGTACAAGCAGATAATTATCCCATCAAGGGAGGGAAGAGTCTGTCCTTTAGGCCCCAGGCTCCCTGGAATAAGCGCACAATCAATCTCTCTTCTGGGATGTCCTGAGCCCTCAACTAGCCGGCTAGCCCCTCCCACCACAACACTCCCCACAGAGCTATAGTTAGGGCTAAATCCCCTCAGCCACTAGAAAGCGTTCATGACTTTCCTTAGCAAAACAAGGAGTGTGAGTGAACAAACAAAACCCCAACCAGAGGGTGACTGTTATATTTCACAGCTTTTACGGTAACTTTTCCAGACAAGTGTAGGGGTTGCTGTCACTGTTATTCTCTGAATTCTTTACAAGTGACTCATAAGGTTCAAGCTGAAGTATAGTAGTATCTGTACCTGTCACAAAATTAGAGGCAATCCCATCACAAATGTCCTGCTCTGCTTTTGATTCTGGAGTGTTGGTTCGTGGTCAACCTCTTTGCTTCCCACCTCAGCTCTAGCAAAGCTATCAAAAGCTTTAGACATACAGGGGCTTAATATCTCTGCAGAGGCTTTAAACCCGAACTGCGTGGGTATTCATCATATCTGGAATCTGACAGCAATGCTGGGAGGAAGGCATCACGTATAGGAGAGAGTTGTGCTTGAGAGTACATACTTCACCAGCTGTCACATAACTAGTGAATGGCAGGAAAGGGATGTGAACCCAGTCTCTTGATTCAACCTCTACTCCATTTACTCATTCAAGAGACTAACTGCCAAATGCCCTCCTGAAAACCCACTGTGTTTGGTTATCTCCCTGACCACAGCGTTGAACCCACTTAGGACTCTAGATGATGCAATTAAGCCCTTTAGTACCCCTTTCTTTGGGCTATAAATAAGCTCCTGCTTACACCTGAGCTGCTATGTCTCAGGAATCTCCTGATTTTTTTTTAATGAATCCAACACATATTTACTGACCAACAACTATGCACAAAACCCGACTCTGCGGCCGGCGCCGCGGCTCACTAGGCTAATCCTCCGCCTAGCGGCGCCGGCACACCGGGTTCTAGTCCCGGTCAGGGCGTCGGATTCTGTCCCGGTTGCCCCTCTTCCAGGCCAGCCCTCTGCTGTGGCCAGGGAGTGCAGTGGAGGATGGCCCAGGTGCTTGGGCCCTGCACCCCATGGGAGACCAGGAAAAGCACCTGGCTCCTGGCTCCTGCCATCAGATCAGCGCGGTGCGCCGGCCGCAGCGTGCCGGCCGTGGTGGCCATTGGAGGGTGAACCAACGGCAAAGGAAGACCTTTCTCTCTGTCTCTCTCACTGTCCACTCTGCCTGTCAAAAAAAAAAAAAAAAAACAACCGACTCTGCGTGCTGTGATGCAGCAGAGACTAATGGACTCTGCCCTCCTGGGGTCTTCCAGAGACTTCTCATTCACCTGTGTTCTGCAGATGTCTCTGTGTCTGGCTTGATCTCTGGTATTTGAGCTACAGTTTTTTTTTCCTTTCAGTACTCAACTTTGAGAAACACTGCACCATGATTAGAGTTCAAACAAATTTAAAGGAAGAACTTGTTAGATGGCTATTGACAGATTTTTTTTTTCAGGCTACAGGGCTGTGAACTCCTTGATATTTTTGTATTTGAACATGTGAGCATTTGTCTGGGAAGATGGTCCATCCATTTTCTACGAATCCCAGAAACACCTGAGATCTAATAAATTTGCAAACCACAATTCGGGTCAGATGTTAGGGAAGAGACCATTCTTGGTGCAAACATTTAATTAAGCATGAGTGTGGGAGAAGGAAGAGATTGAGAACAGTCTCAGCATCTCCTCGGGTGGAACCACTTTGCTAGGTCCATCGGCTGTGGTGGAGAAAACTTAACAAGGTGCCTCCTAAAGGGTATTTCGAGTTCTCAACTTCTTAGAAAAGCTCCCTTAATATACATCTAGCTAGTATATGCCAGTCTTTTATTTCATCTTAATAAATACTGTTGGAAATAGCTGAGAGTAAAAAAATATAGACAGTTTTTTTAAGGACAAGGTTTTTTTTTTTTTTTTTTTTTTGACAGGCAGAGTTAGTGAGAGAGAGAGAGACAGAGAGAAAGATGCTGGCTTTCGGTCGAGCTCTCCTGTACACTAGACATTCATTCAGGCATGGGTCCGTGCATGCCAGGATTTTCTCTCAGTCTGGCCTCTGATTATGTCTCGCGTCAAATATCTTACAGAGCTGCTCCTCTTACAATCCAGCTCATGCTGTGACCAGGGAGTGCAGTGGAGGATGGCCCAAGTGCTTGGGCCCTGCACCCCATGGGAGACCAGGAGAAGCACCTGGCTCCTGCCTTCGGATCAGCGCAGTGCGCTGGCCGCGGCGGCCGTTGCAGGGTGAACCAACGGCAAAAGGAAGACCTTTCTCTCTCTCTCACTGTCCACTCTGCCTGTCAAAAAAAAAAAAAAAAAAAAAAAAAAGAATTGTCTTCTATGGTCTGATAAGCTAAAAAATACACAATCATTATGACCTAGTCTCAAATAAATCACATTTGACAATGGAGTATTTTTTAACCATCAATTACAGATCCTTCCTTGTGTTTCCCGGAATTCACCATAAACAAAAATTCTGTGCTTTCCAATTTACTACAGAGCATGTTTTTCCTTATCCAAAATATAGTCCTTTAACCTCAACCGTGTATAAGAACTTCATGGTTTAAGACAAGTGTTTCAGATGCAGAAAACACTGCTCAGGTTGGAAATGGAATTCCTAAATTACAAGTATTATATATCACAATTAATACAAATTAACTTACAGTAAGTACACTAAGTTTCTTTTCCTTTTCTGCCTGAAAATACGTTGTTTCAGGCCCAATGAAAGAGAGTTGTAATTTTTGATGTCCAAGATGTCAGTTTTCTTGTTCAAAGCAATCTATAATGACTTAAATAAGAACTTCTGCCTATTTCTGAACATAAGCACAGTGAGAAGTTGTTTATCTCTAGCAACAGTCTGAGATTTTTGAAATCACAGAGATATTAACTGCTAAGAATAAAATTTAGGGTTATTAAATAAAATCATTCGGGAAGCTTGAGTACTTTTTCGAAAGTTGTTGTGACGGGCTGTTGTGTTTAGAGTAATCAGTAGCAAAATGAAGTTTAGTACACAATCATAGCTGTAATCTGTATGACAGGGCACCCCTCTGAGACCCTTGGACTGTCCTCAGCTACTCTCTTGTGGGTAAGAGCATTGGGGGATCAACCTTACAGACTCTCTCTCTTTTTAATATTTATTTTTATTTATTTGAAAGTCAGTTACACAGAGAGAGAAGGAGAGGCAAAGAGAGAGAGAAGTCTTCCATCCACTGGTTCACTCCCCAGTTGGCCGCAATGGCCGGAGCTGCGCTGATCCAAAGCCAGGAGCCAGGAGCTTCTTCCGGGTCTTCCACGTGGGTGCAGTGGCTCAAGGACTTGGGCAATCTTCTAGGTTTCCCCAGGCCACAGCAAAAGCTGGATCAGAAGTGGAGCAGCCAGGACTGGAACCAGTGCCCATATGGGATGCCGGCACTGCAGGCAGTGGCTTTACCTGCTACGTCACAGCACTGGCCCCTTACAGTCTCTTAGAATTAAAACTTTCCACCTAGAAATAGACTGGGGCAGTGACCACTGAAATACTCTAAATGTGGTGGTGGGGAGGGAGTATGGAATGGGCCACCCTCTCCCTAACATTGCCTTGTCTCTTTTTATCCTGATGGGACACACTTGGGATATAAGCACCGGTGTAAGTAATCTTAAATTGCAGGATCTAAAACATCTCAACACCTCAGATTTAGGAGCTGTGTGCTGATAGCTAATTTTTCCCTTGAATTTTATTGAGAATTTGAGGCCCCTCCCAGTTAGCCTTTGAAAGGGGTACCAGATGGTGGTGGTTCCCTGTTTTTCTCTGGCCCTTAGTGCTCTGAATCCCTCATGTCCCCCAACCCGGTTCCCTCCTTCAGCTCTGCCAATGTCCCTCCCTAGGAATCACCACTTGTCATTTTCCTCAGTGGGTTGAGTCGTAGTTGTCTCCTGTGTAACCTCTGGGCTGATCTGCTGTTGGTGCAGTCTTTACCTACTCAGGTTCCTGCTGACAGCACAAGGAGAGAGGAAGAGTAGGTTTTAGACCTTTGCAAAAGGTAGGAGCATCAACTATAGTTTTGTTTTTTCCTTTTCATCACTTCTGCAGTCAAGTTTTCTCCTGTAGTAAGAAAACTACCGGCCACAGTGAGAATTCATTTTTCTTTGAAGACCTATCAATGTCATTCGTTTAGGAAATGTCTTGTTATTAAGATGTTCCCCTTGGGGCCGGCGCTGTGGCATAGCAGGTAAAGCCGCCACCCATAGTGCCAGCATCCCATATGGGTGCCAGTTCGAGTCCCAGCTGCTCCACTTCTGATCCAGCTCTCTGCTGTGCCCTGGGAAAGCAGTGGAAGATGGCCCAAATCCTTGGGCCCCTGCACTCACGTGGGAGACCTGGTGGAGGCTCCTGGCTTCTGACTTCACATTGGCACAGCTCTGGCCGTTGTGGCCATCTGGGGGGTGAACCAGCAGATTGAAGACCTGCCTCTCCTTTTCTCTCTGTGTAACTCTTTCAAGTAAATAAATAAACCTTAAAAAAAAAAAAAAAAGAAGTTCCCCTCCAGGCATTGTGACTCAGAGGGTTAAGCTGCTGCAGGCATCCCATGTGGGAGCCGTTTTGAATCCCAGCTACTCCACTTCCAATCCAGCTCCTCCCACATGTGCCTGGGAAACAGCAGGTGATGATGGCTTAAGAACCTGAGTTCCTGCCACCTATGTGGAAAATCTTGGTGGAGTTTCTGGCTTCAGCCTGGCCAGACCCAGCTGTTGTGGGCATTTGCAGAGTGAGCCAGCTGTTGGAGGATATCTCTCTTTCTCTCTCTCTCTCTCTCTCTCTCTCTGCCTTAAAAAAGAAAAGAAAAATCAGTCCCTAAGAATACAGTGTCAAAGGCCGGTGCCGCGGCTCACTAGGCTAATCCTCCGCCTTGCGGCGCCGGCATACCGGGTTCTAGTCCCGGTCGGGGCGCTGGATTCTGTCCCAGTTGCCCCTCTTCCAGGCCAGCTCTCTGCTGTGGCCAGGGAGTGCAGTGGAGGATGGCCCAAGTGCTTGGGCCCTGCACCCCATGGGAGACCAGGAGAAGCACCTGGCTCCTGCCTTCGGACCAGCATGTTGCGCCGGCGGCAGCGCGCCAGCCGTGGCGGCCATTGGAGGGTGAACCATGGCAAAGGAAGACCTTTCTCTCTGTCTCTCTCTCTCACCGTCCACTCTGCCTGCCAAAAAAAAAAAAAAAAAAAAAGAATACAGTGTCAAAAAGTGGGAGCTGCCTGTAAGTCATTAAGATTTCATTGATTCAGATTTCTTCCCTTTTTGACAGCCTTCATGTCCGGCACAGAAGATACTGTATCGCTCCAGAGAATCATACTCTTAAGGAGTGGATGAAAGCACAAGCAGTCAAGGAAAATGACAGACGCAAAATCTGCCATAAGAAGAAATACATCAAGAGGAACCATGAAGGGGCACGTCGGGGAAAGCATGTGACAGGTGGCCATAAAACTTACCAGACAGTTGATGCCTAACACCACAAAGATGATTCCTCTGGTGAAGGTAGCGCTTATCTTCAGATGATCTTTTAAGAGGAGCACGTAATTGCTCTAACTTTTTTATTATCAGGTTTTCCAAACCTACAGAGAAGTTGAAAGAATGGTACAATGAACACTTGTCTGTATACCATTCACCTAGATTCATCATTGCGAATATCATGCCACAACTACTTTCTTTTTCTTATCTATGTGTGTATATACAAATTTAACATTATCTATGTTTATACACACATATATGTATAAAACCTTGCTAAACTGTTGGAAAATAAGTTGCAAATATTATGACACTTCACTCTAATTATTTTTAATGTTACAACTTGCATCCCTCAAGAGTAAAGACATTTCCCTATAGAATTACATTAGCAATTTAACACCTAAGAACTTAACAGTTTCATTTAATATATATAGACCATATTCAAGTTTTCGTAACTTTTTCCAGAGTATTTTATATAACTTTTATAAAATGTGGGAATCAATCAAGTTCATGCATTCAATTAATTATCATATTTCTTAAGTCTTCTAAAAACGATTCACTTGATAGAAAAAGGGAGCAAGATAGAGAGCGAGCTACTATCCTCAGTTTCATTCCTCAAATGCCCACAAAGACTGATACTGTGCTGAGGCTAAAGGCAGGAGCCAGGAACTCAATCCAGGTCTCTGGAGTAGGTGGTAACATCTCAAATATTTGAGCCCTCATCTGCTGCTTTCTAGGGTCCACATTAGCAGAAAGCAAGAATTAGGAGCCAGAGGCAGGCATTGAACTCATATAGGGTATAGGCATTCTAACTGCTGGCTTAACCATGAAACCAAATACCTGCTCTGAGGTTCTTTCAATCTAAGAAAGGTCCTCTGTTTCTGGTTATTGTTCTTTCCTCCCATGGATGGACTCTTTTAGAATAATCTAGGCCAGCATTTGTTCCACATCTGGGTTTGCCTGGTTGTTTCCTCATGAGCAGGTTCAAGTTTAACATATTTGGTAAGAATTTCCTATGTAAATTTGTGTACTAGTTATTGTGTCATGTAGGGTTCATGGACATTTGAGCTTATTTTCTAAAGAGAAAAATTTAAGTTGAACAATACTTGAAAGAGTCCAATTTGAGTAGCTCTTGTTGTTTGGATTGATAAATTCTGATGCTGAAAAAAAAAATGACGTATTTACCCCCACTTCTGGCTCCTGCAGTAAATTCCTGAACAGCAGCTCTAGCCAGGGGTCTCGAGTTGGTCCCATGTGGGGTGATTTTACATTTTTCCTAAATAAGGAGTCACAGAGGCTTCAGGATGTATACTAGGAGCCCAGTTTTCATAAACAGCTGTTGGAAAGCAGCAGGAGCATGTTACCAGGTGCCAGGTGTCCTGGGCTTCCTTGCTGGCCAGTTCCAGGCAGTGGCATGGCACTCACAGAGGTGCTGAGCCTGGTGTAGCTTAAAATATCCCCAGTCTTTTGTATAACATCCCTCAGTGACACCAGTGTAGCAGGTGATGTGTTTATTCCCACCAACAAAGCTTTGTACTGATATTCCCACTCTATGGAATGGAAGCCTGAGGCTCAAAGAGGTCAAATGGCTTTCCCAAGGTCACTCAGTAACTGACAGAGAGAAGCCTGGAACCCAGTTCTCATCTCAGCCCCTGTAATAGATACCGGGAAGGTGTAGACACGGGGATGGGATGGAAGGGAGGAGAGGACCTCAGATAAAGATTTGTGACAGGGACTTCACAAGGGGGCAGGCGATGCCTACTGACAGCTTATTTTTGTGGAAGCCTGGAATTGAAACATGCTGCCCCTGGCATTGTTGCTGCTGACAGTGACAATAACCATAGATTAAAACAGGCCCTGACCTGACTCTGTGGAGTTTCACATGCCTAGGCACTGGAGAAAACTGCACACAATTTATAATTGTTGATTAGCAAAATCTCCCTCACCAGATCTTCGTTTGAACTTATGGACAGATTTTGTCAAAAATATGGCATTCTTTCATTTCTGATGTGATAATATGATAATACAGATGATCCTGAAGGAAACAGAGTATTTCCCTTAAATCTTGTATTATGATCATCCGTTGTCATCATATTGCAGATTCTAAAGCTAAGAAAGCAACATTAAGTAAACAGCATTAATGATATATGGAAGTAACTTAGAATAAGTCAGGAGTTTTACAATTCTTCAGAGTAACCCACATTAAGGAAAGGTTAGGATAAAAACAAGAGCATTGGTTTCCAATCCTTTCAACCAACAACTTGAATTATTTTTGATTTTCTCTCCTTCCAGTCCAGATCCATAATTCTGTACAATTTGGAGGTAGCTATAAATGACACCAGTTTCATGTGAGATTTTAAAATGGATTTTACCATAATGCAAATAATGAAAACTATGATGACTATGTGCCCAGAAGACAAGATTTTTGAGAAATCCCATTTAACAGGCTGTCACATGTGCTTATTATACAATATTATATCATTGTTACTGTACTATGTACTGTTACTATATAAGAATAAAAACTGTTACTGTTCTCTAAGCTAATATACTATGAATAAATCACCCTGGTTAACTTCCTAAGTTTTCCTTTTTGAAGATTATGTTCTTAGTAAAGTAATACTAATATGTGATTTAAAAATCAGTGATAGAGAAGAATGTGTAACAAAGAGTAAAATCCTTCTACCCTCCCCTCCCCATTCCCTGGCTTGTTTCCTTGAGGCAACTTCTTTAAAATTGTTAAAAACCTCTAGTTCTTCTAATAGTTATTTCCATAATTTCAAATGAAATGTTTAAGAATTTTTAAAGATTTATTTATTCATTTTGAAAGCATTACAGAGAGAGACAGACAGATCTTCCATCTGCTGGTTTATTCTCCAGATGGCTGCATTGACCAGCACTGGGCCGTGTTGAAGCCAGGAGCTTCATTCAGGTCTCCCACGTGGGTGGTAGGGGCCCAGTCACATAGACGATCTTCCACTGCTTTTCCCAGGTCATTAGTAGGGAGCTGGATCAGAAGTGGAGCAGCCAGAACTTGAATGAGTGCCCATATGGGATACCACTGTCACAGGTGTTGGCTTTACTTGCTATGCCACAATGCCTGCCCCAAAGACTTAAAAAAAATTATCTTATTTATTTGAAAGAGAGAGAGAAAGACAGAGACAGAGAGAATCTTCCATATACTGGTTCACTCCTGAGTTGGATCAGGCTGAAGCCAGGAGCACAGAGCTCCAGCTGAATCTCTCACTAGGGTGCAGGGCCTCAAATACTTTGGCCATCTTCCACTGCTTTCCCAAGTGCATTAGCAGGGAGCTGGACTGGAAGCAGAGCAGCTGGGACTTGAACCAGTGCTCTGATATGGGATGCTGGTATTATACACAATGGCTTAACTTGCTGTACCACAATGCTGGCCACTAAAGAATCTTGTGTTTATTAACTTAATACCTATTGCCTCCTTAATACTTCCTCCTTCATTTCCCTTCTCTTTCTTCACCCTAATGTGTTTTGGTTTTCTAACAAGGATTTTTCTTTATCTTTATAACTTTGAATATTGTGCCCATCTTCCATTCATTTGTACACTAGCTCTAGAATTGTGGCCTCCTTTTTATGGAAGAGGTAGATAGTACTCCATACTCTAATCCCTTCCCTCCTTATCCTTCCAGCTTTGCTTGGCCTCATATCAGCTATACCTTTACTTTATCGTATCTGGAGTTGATAACTCTGTTCTGTAATAATAATTGTCTACTGTGCTTTGTTTAAGGCACAGTTTCCCAATCTTGGCATAACTAACATTTTGGGCTGGATATTTTGAGGACTCTCCTATACACTGTAGGTAGATTAACATTAACTTTAGTCTCTACCCACTGAATGACATCCACAAATGTCTTCAGATATTGCCAAATATTCCCTGGGGGAAGAATGTTAGGAAAATGGTAGTTTTATCTATGGCGCGATCTACACCCTGACACCATCCTAGGCTCTAGCCCCCGCCACCATTGCTGGAAGCCAGCTGGCCACATGGCCCAACCACCGGTGTCAAGCTCCACCCCAATCCTAATGGGATTCGATGCTCCTGCTTCCCTGCCCACCCTCCGGCAAAGTTTTAAAAGGGCACATGTTCCTTAACATGTGCTCTCCTGGCTCCTCTCTTCTGCTCTCCTCTCCTCCTCTCGTCTCTCTTCTCTCTGCTCTCTCTTCTCTCCTCGCTAGCTCCTCTCCTCTCTCTCTCTCTCTAACACTCTCCTTCTCTCTCTTTTTCCTTGTTCACCCCTTCCCTCCAGCTTGCTGGGTTTCCCCAATAAACCCTTTCCCTTACTCCAGTGTTTGGTGTGTTTTGTGATGGCCTAACAAAGAATAAAAAATTCCTCCCATCCCAGTTGAGAATTATTAGTCTAGAATCTAAGGTAGGCTCTTTTTTTTTTTTCAATATTTTTTTTTGACAGAGTGATAGAGAGACGTGGAGAGACTGAGGGAAAAAGAGAGCTACCATCCCTTATTCACTCCTCAGATGATCCCAGTGGTAGGGGCTGGGGCAGGCTGAAGCCAAGAACCAGAATTCTGTTCAGTTTTCCCATGAGGGTGTCAGGGACCCAAGTACCTGGGCCATCTTCCACTGCTTTCCCAGGCACATAAGCAGGACATTGGATCAGAAGCAAAGCAGCTGGGGCTCTAATCAGAGCTCCAATATGGAATCCTAGCACGGTAAGAAGTAGCTTAACCCAATGTGCCACAACGCCAACCCCTAGTGTATGTTCTAAAACTGAAAATCAGTGTAGTTGGGAAAATGCCAAGATGAGTCCCCTGACTCCCAAATTCCCTGTCTTGATATACAAACACCTCCCAAGTGTTAATCTAGGTTTTGCAGTGAAGGTATTTTGGGAATGTAGGTAAGATCACAAATCAGTAGACCTTAAGGTAAGGAGATTATCTTAGGCCGGCGCCGTGGCTCAATAGGCTAATCCTCCACCTTGCGGCGCCGGCACACCGGGTTCTAGTCCCGGTCGGGGCGCCGGATTCTGTCCCGGTTGCCCCTCTTCCAGGCCAGCTCTCTGCTATGGCCAGGGAGTGCAGTGGAGGATGGCCCAGGTGCTTGGGCCCTGCACCCCATGGGAGACCAGGAAAAGCACCTGGATCCTGGCTCCTGCCATCGGATCAGCGCGGTGCGCCGGCTGCAGCGGCGGCCATTGGAGGGTGAACCAACGGCAAAGGAAGACCTTTCTCTCTCTGTCTCTCTCTCTCACTGTCCACTCTGCCTGTCAAAAATAAAAAAAAAAAAAAAAAAAAAAAGGAGATTATCTTAAAAGTGGGAGTCACTTAATCACAGGAGCTCTTTAAATCTGGATCTCAAGGTCAGAGACAGAATACTTACAATTATTCAACACAGAGGATTCATTGTTCACTGCTCGCTTTGTAGATGGAAGGGGCTATGTTGCAAGAAATGCAGGAGGCTTCTAGGTGGCCCTTGCCTGATGGTCAAAAAGCAAGCCAGAAATGAAGTCCTATAACCACAAGGAAGTGAATTCAGACAGCAATAAGAATGAGATTGGAGCAGATTTTGCTATGGATAGGAATGCAGCACAGCCAACATCTTGATTTCAGCCTTAAAAGACCTAAGCAGAAAATCTAGTCTCATTGTGCCTGCACTTCTGACTTAAAGGTTATGAACTCATCAATGGATATTGTTTTAAGTGACTAAATTTATGGTAATTTTTAAATATAGCAATAGAGAATCAACATAAGCACTAAATACTTTACCATCCTGCTGTGTAAGTATTGTTCTCTGCACAGCAAGTAGAATGCTAGAATTTAATATCCCTCTCTTAAAGATACACTGTGTATAATTCACTCAGTGTTCAGTCAGTATAAGCCTGAAGATATACAACTCCTTCCCAGTGCTATTTGAGTGGCTCAGATGTGTTACTTCCTTCCTGGGTATGGTCCACCATACAAGGTCTTACATACCCTGCTTTTCTCTTCTTTACTGGTCATTCACTTGAAGTCTCAGGGTTCTTCCAAAATATTGCAGAGAATTCTCCATTTGTACATATGTAGTTGTTCATTGTCCTAAGGTTCTGAAGAAAGAGTTCATATTCACCCTATTGGTGGGAGGATTTAGCCCCTCAATTTGGCAATGGCCTTTTATCAGCAAAGCCCTTCATCTGTCTATCTCTTTCGTATTAAGGTTTATTTATTTGTAATTCAAAGTTATACACAGAGAGGAGAGGCAGAGAGAGGTCTTCCATCCACTGGTTCACTTCCCAAATGGCCACAACAACCAGAGCTGCACTGATATGAAGCCAGGAACCAGAAGCTTCCTCCAGGTCTTCCCACATGGGTGCAGGGGCCCAAGGGGCCATCTTCTACTGCTTTACCAGGCCATAGCACAGAGCTGGATCAGAAGAGGAGCAGCCGGGACTTGAACAGCACCCATATGGGATGCCAGCACTGCAGGTGGCGGCTTTACCTGCTATGCCACAGTGCCGGCCCTAATATCTGTCTCTGATGTTCTGTGTTCTGGCCACTGTAGGGTGGTGGGTGAGGTTTACATGTACTCCGTTTGATGGGATAATGACTACAACTTTCAATGTATTCCGAGTTGGAAAGAATCTTCCATTGGTAAAAACACAAATTCTCCAGACAGTGCCCTTAAATACTAACTATTCCAGTCCTAACTGGTTTGGCTAGCAGATGATTCAAGGTGCTTCCACTCCTTGATACTGCCAAGCTTACCCACAAAATGTGGGAAGATGGGCAAAGATTACCTAAGGGTGGTGTAAGTAGCCCTCCCTCTGAGATCTGAATTTTATGCAATCACAGAATAACAGCATGTATTTCACAATTTATACATCCAATCTTATGCTTTGTGGCCAAAGTTTAGCACTTTTTTTTCTTCAAGTATAAAATCATTTTTCAGGACCAGTGTTATAGTGCAGTGGATTAATCTGTCGCCCACAGGGCTGGCAGCATCTCATATGCACATCAATTCAAATCCCAGCTGCTCCGCTTCTGATCCAGCTCCCTGATAATGTGCTTGGGAAAGCAGCTGAAGATGGCTCAAGGGCTCAGGCACCTGCATTCACATGGGAGACATGGATGAAGCTTCTGCCTCCTGGCTTTGGCCTGGCCCACCCTTTGACATTGTGGCCGTTTGGAGTGTGAACCAGCAGATGGAAGGCCTCCCTCTCTATCTCCCTCTCTGTAACTGTCTTTCAAGTAAATAAATAAATCTAAATAAAATTATTTCCCGCTGGTTTATTTGGGAGACCTCCAAGCTCATTCCACCCCACACCAATACCACAATTTTGCTGTCCCACGTAATTCATTGATAAAATCTGATTGGCACAGTGCAGCCACTACATGTTGTTGCCATTTTACCTCTAAAAGAACTTCTGAAACACCACAGCATCACCTTCTTTCACCCAGGGTTTACTGATGACACAAATACATGTTGGCAAGTAACCTGTGGTCTGGCTAGTTATAATGAAAACAAGATAGTATAAGGGCCTGCATTGTGGCACAGTGGGTTAAGCCACCACCTGTGACTCTGGCATCCCATATGTGTGTCAGTTGGAGTTCTGGACTCCCTACTTCCAATCCAGCTTGCTGCTAATGCTCCTGGGAAAGCAGCAGAAATGACCCAAGTGCTTGGGTCCCTCCTACCTATGTGAGACCTGGATGGAGTTCCAG